TAGATGGATCACTGGTCTGGTCCAGCAGGACTGTTTTGATGGTCTTAATATTTTTTTTTTTAAAGCTTTGGAGGAATGGAAGTTGTGGGGCCCTCCCGGAAAAACCTCTGGGAAGGAGAGTGGGCCATTAGGAAATTATGTCCAGGTATTTAAGGGAGGGGGTCAGGTGAAATTGTGGTGGGTAGGTTAGTAGGGGTCTAAGTGGGCAGGATACACAGTGTAGGGATTTCTGAGGTGGCGGAAAGTCCGAGGACGTGAGAAGTGGGATGCCAATGGCGTCTTTGTGCTGGAGACTCTATTGAGAATCGAAGGGTTATGCTCACACACAGAGCCCATAGAATGATACAATACGTGTAGATGTGCTTGACCTTTTCCTGAGAATGTGCTACATTAATACTCTTTTTCTCTAGGGTTGCTGACTGACTGGAGAAAAATGTCCTGCCCCTTTAAATGTACTGTCCCTTTAAAAGAGGCTTAATGAGATTTTTTTTAAAAAAAAAAAAAGCTAAGTGATTTTTTTTTATCTCCAGGCCACAAAAAGCTTCAGCTGCCTCTTTCCACACATGATTTATTCACATTTTGCTTACAAGAGTCTTATGCTGCCTTTCGGCCCATTAGGGCTCCCAAGACAAGCGAATCAGGCCTCTGTGAAAGAGACAGGATGTTTTTCTCCAGGCCTGTTGAGAAACTTAATGCCAGCTTCCGAAGGGAAAGGTGGAGTGCAGCTTCCGCACTCGGAATCGGACCCCCGTGGCCTAGAATTGTTTCGCTGATGCCATTGCCAATTCAGTAGCTATTTGCTGCCTTTGGCGCTTGAGCCTGAATATCTGCACAAATAGGAGCAGGGTTTCGAGTGTTGTATCATGCATGAAACATTCCGAGGGCATTTCCATTCTGAAACCCGCCCTCTCTCACTTGCTGTCAGCTTGTGAAAGGCACGCGACAGCGGCGTCTTCTCCCCAGCCGATCCCTTTAGGTTATGATTGGTTTGCACAGAAGTGGGACACGTCAGCTAAATTGGCATCTCGATGAAATGTGCCCACAATGCAAAAACGGGTTAAGAGCAGCGTTCCCTCTAAGCTGTGTCTGTGAGCGGCTGCTCATCCACACAGGAAGCCCCGGCTCTGCAGCATCCTGGAGACGCACAGGGTCTTGCACTGCCCCATGCCCATCGGAAGATGACAGCAGTTCTATTCTGCTCAGGATATGAACTGCTCCACTCAGTAGGGAAACGAATGAGAGGGAGCATTGGTCAAGTAGCTTTCTCGTCATTGATGATCTGACTTGCCCGTAAAGTAGATCGCCATGGCCGTCTTTTGCCCAAGCGGCCAGTCGGCTAAAAGAGCTGCCGGCTTTCAGATCTAAGGAATTGCTGTGTGGTTTCCCCTCTCTTCCTCCAGAGTAATAAATGCCTCCCCCCCCCCAAAAAAAGCCCTCTCTGCTCATCTCTGGGAAGTGGAACTGTGACAAGTGAACCACGGTATCAGTGTTTCTGGGAGGGGAAGATTCCTGAGAGTTCTCAGGTATCTAGAATGAACCTAGTTGGTTAATACTGAGAGAAAGACAGAGACACAGAGAGAGAGACAGAGACAGACAGAATTTCTGGGGATTTTGAGGCCACGGAGAAAGCATGGTATTTTAAATGTATTATTTACTTAGCACAAGCTACATTTGGTAAGTTTAAAAAAGCCAGTACTCCTTAAGGTGGACTAAGCATATTTTACGGCACTTTCACACATGCTAAATAAAGCTGTTTTAATCCACTTCAGTGACTGTTTGCAAGTGGATTTTGCCATTTTACACAGGGAAATCCGGTTGCAGAGTACACTGAAAGTGCATTATTCAGTGTGTGTGTGTGTGTGTGTGTGTGAACACACCCTTCATTTTTATCAGTTTAGAAAAGTGAGAATTGCCCGGCTACCCCAGCCTCATCATATCTCGGGAGCTAAACAGGGTCAGCCCAGGTCACTATTTTGATGGGAGACCACCAAAGGAATACCTGGATCACTATACTGAAGCAGGCGATGGCAACTCACCTCTGAAGGTGTCTTGCCTTGAAAACCCCATGTAAAGTAAAGGTAAAGGTCTCCCTTGCTGGAAAGCCAGTCGAATCCGACTCTAGGGTTGCGGTGCTCATCTCCGTTTCAAAGCCGAAGAGCCAGCGCTGTCAGAAGACGTTTCCGTGGTCATGTGGCCGGCATGACTAAACACCAAGGCGCACGGAACGCTGTGACCTTCCCACCGAAGTGGTACCTATTTATCTACTTGCAATTCCTTGCTTTCGAATGGCTAGGTTGGCAGGAGCTGGAACTAGAGACGGGAGCTCACTCCGTCATGCGGCACAATCGGGTCTCGAACTGCTGAACTACTGCCCTTCCGCAGCCTGCAGTTCAGCGTCTTAACCACTTGAGCCATGAGGGGTCACCAAAAGGCAGCTGCAGCCTGACAGCGATTTCTACCACCACCAAGAATTAAAAACGGAAACCATCAACATTGCATCGGGTCTTAGAAACGGTATCCTGTCCCTACAGTTGGCTAACGAGAGCCAGTTTGGTGTAGTGGTTAAGTGCGCGGACTCTAATCTGGGAGAACCGGGTTTGATTCCCCACTCCTCCACTTGCAGCTGCTGGATGACCTTGGGCAAGCTGTAGCTCTGATATGAGCTGTTCTTGAAAAAGAGCAGTTTCTGTCACAGTTCTCTCAGCCCCTCCTACCTCACAGGGTGTCTGTTGTGGGGAGGGAAAGGGAGAGGAGTTTGTAAGCCCCTCTGAGACTCCTTTGGGTAGTGAGGGACTGGGTATAAATCCAATCTCCTCCTCTTCTTCTTCTCGTCTTGTTTAGATCTTTATTCCTCACTTTTCTGCCCGCTGGGGCGGCTTACCACATTGTTCTCCCTTCCTCCATTTTATCGTCACCGACAACCCTGTGAGGTAGGACAGGCTGAGAGTGCGTGACTGGCCCAAGGTCACCCAGCATGTTTCCGTGGCAGAGTCGGGACTCGAACCTGGGTCTCGCACATCTTAATCCAGTGCTCTAACCGCTACACCACATGGCTCTCTATTCAGAAACAGAGACAAAAAGCTGGCACAACACCTGTTTGCCAAAGCACACCACAAGCAGTGATCCCTCTTTCAAACTGCTTTCAGTTCTCAAACAAAACAGCAGCAACAGCAACAAAACTCCTAAGTGTCTTTCTCCAGGCAAAGAGATCACAGTATTAAGACTATTAGTAGATCTGAACTTTGAGTTACATTTGTAGTAGCATTTAATAAGGGCTTCATTAGAACAAAATTTGAGTCCAGTGGCACCTGTAAGACCAACAAAGTTTAATTCTGGGCATAAGTTTTCTGAGTATAAGCTTTTGTGTGCATGGTTAGTGTTTCCTTCCAGCTCCCCACTCAGTTGTAGTTTCTTCCCTGCTCCCGCTCCTGGAACCCCTGAACAACTTCCCAGCCAAATTTACCTGTGAGTTCTCGAGATGGAGTTTGCAAACAATAAGCCAAACCTTTGGAAAACGAATTAAGGCTTATTAAGTTCCGAAAATATATCAGCTGTTCAGTACAGTCTCGCCAGGGTAATAACAAGGAAATAAGAAAGCTACCTTTTCATAATAATAATAAATATTAAAAGATGGGAAAGATTTTACAACTGGATGTATAAGAGAGAGGAAATTTTGACTCAAATGTATACAGGAATAAAAATGTGCAATGCAATGTAAAAAAAAAACCCCAGAAGGATGAAGGAAGAAAATATGTTAATGTGAATTGAGGAAAGTCATAAATAAAATGGGAAAAATCACAAAAAACGAAAACTACCTTTTCTAACGTTATAAATTTCATACCTGGGTCACAGATGGCAGGTCTCTTATAGCAGGAAAGCATTTTATCTCTTGCAGCCAGTCATAGAATCATATAGAATCACAGCGTTGGAAGGTGACAATAGAGGCCATCTAGTCCAACCCCCTGCTCAGTGCAGAACCGGCCTAGAGCATCCCTGACCAGTGTTTGTCCAGCTGCTGCTTCAAGACTGCCAATGAGGGGGCGCTCACCACCTCCCTGGGTAGCGGATTCCACCGTTGCACAACTCTTAACTGTGAAAAAGTTTCTCCTAATATCCGGCCCGGTACCTTAATTTAAACCCATGATTGTGAGTCCTCTGCTGCCCGGAGGAACAGCCCTCTTAAGTGTCAGCCCTTCAGATACTTAAAGTGAGCAATCATGACCCCCCTCAACCTCCTCTTCTCCTGATTAAACAGTCATAGCAGAGCATAAGCCTACATAACCTATAGCTCTCAATTATTGCTTTTTGCCGTCTTGAGTAAGGTGATCTCTCTAATCCAATGAAAGACCTGCTTCTCAGGAACCTTCCAGAAGATGGTAGCTTCTGCCTCTCATTTCCCCCCTGCCATGATGTTATACAGTCATGCACAGGTTCCCATGCTGTACCCAGTTAACACATTCCTCTGTCTGGCCTTGAAGGATATTAAGCTGGTTCTAACCAAAGCGCTGAGATCGCTGACTGAGAGGCAATTAGGATGCTTAGCATCACATTCATCATCTCACACAAAGTATCATAGTGGCTGTGTACAAAGTTAGCTACTTGAAATCAATATGCCGTGTAAATAAGACATCATAGAAGTAGTCTCTAACTGGAATCTAGAAAGCCAGAAGTCCCTGATTCTTTCATTTTGATCTCTGTGCACTTCAGAGAACTGAAGGCGTGGTTTGAAACGAGTGTGTCTTTCATAAGCTGGCTCGTTTCTTGGTTTGGTGTTTGTATATCCAGATGTAGACCGTTTTTTAAAATAAGCTGCAGAAGAAACAGGAATCTGCAGCAGACCCCAGAACGGGTTTCCCCAACCTGGTGCCCCCGGGCTCCAGGATGCCTACCAGTACTTTCCTTGGTGCCTGCCAAACTTTTCAGAAAGTGGGCAGGGCTATTGTAAGGTTGGGCTTGTTATTGGTTGCCCTCATTCAAATGAAAGGGTTTTTCACTGGACGATGAGCACGACTGGTAAGCCCTTGTGCTTTCCTTAGTCAGTGTGTGGCTCCATTTGACCTTTAGGATTTCCTTTTCTCAGGATGTGTAAGAAAGTCAGTACTCTGTTTGGCTCTGCCGCCTGAGGCAGCCATGGGGTGGTGTTCAGCACCCCCTCTCAACATTCCAAATGTTCCTCAGTTTGGGGACCCCTGTCCTAGAACTTGAGTTGTATATGCCTACAGTACGTAGGAACTGTAATTACTTAGTATTGCGGATTGCACAACGTAGTTATGACACAGCATTTTATTTATGAAAAAGGAAGAAAAAGTTAATTTTTTCCCCAGTTTTTCTTACAACTTGCATTATTTCCACAGGGAAAAATGGGAAAAGCTACTGCAGAGGGTGAAGTGGGGGGATACCGGAGGAAAAAAAACTTCCCCTCCTTATTCCTCCTTCCGTATTTGTTTCCGCCCCCCCCCCCAATTTCCTGGCTATCACATCTTTATTGATACCATTTAAGACCGTGGCCCCCAGCCTTTCTGGGCCTGTGGGTATAAATCCAATCTCCTCCTCCTCCTCCTCTTCTTCTAAAATACTGTGAGCTAGCTCACACGCTCAGCTTAGAGGGAACACTGGTCAAGATGCATAAGTAACTGAGCGATAAGTATAGCTAAGATTGGATTAAGGCAGTTGGTAAAACCTGGGAATAGCAGCCAATTAGCATACAAATGAAAGAGTTGACAAACCGATTTGAGAACGAAGTTTGAGTCCAGTGGCACCCTTAAGACCAACAAAGTTTAATTGTGGGTATAAGTGAGAACTGAGTGACTTCTGCCCATGCTAAGTCACTCAGTTCTCACTTATACCCAGAATAAAACCCAGGATAAAACTTAAAGGTACCTCTGGACTCAAACGTTCTTCTGTTGCTTCAGACCAACACGGCTACCAATGCTCCCTCTCAGCTGTGGAGTCCTGTGAGCAGAAATTCGACTTTGTGAGCTACTGCCATTAAAGTTGTGAGCCAGCGATTTGACTGCTGCATAAATTAGTTTGCTCTGGTGCCCTCCTTCCTGAGCGGAGACAAAAATGTGTGAGCCAGAGGCTAAACAACTGTGAGGTAGCTCATACTAACTCAGCTTAGAGGGAACACTGACGACTACCTGTCTGAATCTCAGAGAGTGAGGTTATGCGTAACTCTAATAGTAACTCCTCAGAAGCGCTGCTTTGAGATGCCTTTGAAAATGAGCATACTGTTTCAAAATATTTTCTTGCATACACACAGTTTATCTCCAGTCACGCAGTGAAGATCCTTTAAAAAAAAAACCAATGGTACAGCTAATCAAATCTCCAGTGGCCGATCAGAAGTCCTGCTGGTCAAAAGCCCCACTTGTCTTCTCCTGCTGTCTAAAGAAAAGATGTTGGTGACCCCTGATTTAGGAAGATGGGTGTTTGGATGGGGTCTAGCCCCTGATTTAAGAAGATGGATGGATGGATGGGGTCTAGCCCCTGATTTAAGAAGATGGATGGTTGGATGGGGTCTAGCCCCAGGGAGGGCTGTCTTTGAACTCAGACTCGTTAACGGCTTTTGGGCAGGGCTACCCATCCCAACTGAGCTGCCTTTGCATTCCCTAACTGTTACAATTTTATTCTAGATTATAGCTTTTGATGAACTGAAGACTGACTACAAGAATCCCATAGACCAGTGTAATACGCTCAACCCTGTAAGTTAACATGAGAGAGATCTCTCTGCATCAATTTCTAGTCAGGTTTTCTCTCTCCTCTGGCAGCTAATATCGGTTTACTGTGCATGCGTACAATATCGTTGGCTAAAATCTAATAGAGTTATGATACCTCAGCAGAATTCTTCCTCTCTCTCTCCCCCCCCCCCCTCTTTCGAGCTTGAAATTCTGACTTATTTATCTACCAGTGATCCTGTCCACTGTCCTACTAACATTCTTTCAATCTGCTTTTTACATTTTCGGTACAAAGACAGTTGAAAAGGTTAAAAAGATTAAAAGAGTCAAAATTGCATTAAAGGTGTGTACTGCTTTTTAGTTTAATGTTTTAACGCCACTCTCTTTTGCTTTCCATCTCGTTAGGAGCATCTGTATGACTTGAGTTGACTTTCACTGTGCTTGTTCATCCGCCTGTCTACTGTCTGTTTCAGGGGTTGTTGTAACTCCATGAGCTCTGTGCCTTGTAAATCTGCTTGCTTAATAAGAGACGGGGAAAACTGTTACATGCTTAAATTCTGTATGTAGAAGAAGAAGAAGAAGAGATTGGATTTATACCTCGCCCTTCACTACCCAAAGGTGTTTCAGAGTGGCTTACAAACTCCTTTCCCTTCCCTTCCCCACAACAGACAGAAACTGTTCTTTTTAAGGAACAGCTCTTATCAGAACTATGTCTTGCCCAAGTTCATCAGCCAGGTGCAAGTGGAGGAGTGGGGAATCAAACCCCGTTCTCCCAGATTAGAGTCCGCGCACTTAACCACGACACCAAACTGGCTCAAGTTGAATGTACTGACGGGTCTTGGTGCCAATATGTTTAAGTGATAGCTTTTAACTCAGAAGAAACATCTGCCAGGGTTTTCTAATCTTATAACCATGGTTTTAAACTCTGGTTGCAGCAGGAACCCTGGTTAGCATTGGTGCATATGCAGTGCTCAGCCGTGGTTAGGCGAGTTCACACTGAAGAAAGGGGAGACAGAAGGAAGGGAGTGCAGGTTCTCAAGGCTGACTCCTGCTTTTCAGTTCCAGTGTTTTAAAAAATTTCTAACCATGGTTTTAAAGTCCAGTCGCAGTAGGGACCCTGAAACATCGGCGCAGCCGTAGTGCTAAGCCTTGGTCAGACTGACAGGGCGGTTCACATTGCAGGAGGGAAGGATAGAAGGAAAGGGAGTGCACGCTCCCATCGCTTCCTGCTTTTCAGTCCCAGGGTTTAAAATTTTTTCTAACCACAGCTTTAAACTCCGTCTGCAGTCGGTACCCTGGTTAGCATTGGTGCGGCCATAGCGCTACGCCTCGGTTAGACTGAAAGAGGGGTTCACACTGAAGAGAGGAAGGATGGAAGAAAGGCGACGGACTTCCCCGAGGCTGACTCAGGCTTTTCAGTCCCTGGTTTGCAGGGAGCCTGCATTATATTTGCACCAGCTCTTGTTGAGCGGTGAACTCTTGAGGCCCTTGTCTCCTCGAAAGGCCTTTTGCATTCCAAATCACAGTTGAATAGCTTGGGATCGTATGCTGTCATGACCCCAGGGGGTCTCTACCGTCTGCTGCCACCACTCTGGACTTCAGGTCCCACGAGAAGGCCCAGAGTACCCTCTCAGGCCCATCCAACATGCCCCCTTTTCCAGCCGAGAACACACAGGCGTGATTGACCCAGGCAGAGAAAATAATTACACAAAAGTAAAGGTAAAGGGTTCCCTTGCTCAAAAGCCAGTCGAATCTGACTCTAGGGTTGCGGTGCTCATCTCCGTTTCAAAGCCGAAGAGCCAGCGCTGTCCGAAGACGTTTCCGTGGTCATGTGGCCGGCATGACTAAACACCAAGGCACACGGAACGCTGTTGCCTTCCCACCGAAGTGGTACCTATTTATCTACCTGCAATTTCTTGCTTTCGAACTGCTAGGTTGGCAGGAGCTGGAACGAGAGACGGGAGCTCACTCCGTCATGCGGCACACTCGGGTCTCGAACTGCTGAACTACTGACCTTCCACAGCCTGCAGTTCAGCGTCTTAACCATTTGAGCCACCGCAGCGCCAATTACACAAAAAGGGTTTATTAAAAACAATACTGGGGCAGGGAAAACAAGGCAAGGCAAGGTGCTTCCAAAGGGCATAACAGGGTTGAAAAGGCAACATGAACATAAACTAAGGCAGCTGCCTGCTCTGCTTCCCGGTCCACAGCCTGCCTGGCACTCACGCTGAGCCCAGGGGAGATCTTCCTCTCTCCCAGACCAGCCTGTCCCCCCAGTGAGACCAGGCCGCAGAGGGAGACTCCCCACAGTTAACCATTAAGACCGACTCTCCTCACAGTATATAACAGTCTCCTCACAGAATCTCCCTCTGATTGGCTATAGCCCGTTACTAAGCCTTATGGGGACTGTAGGCCGCCTGCTTTCACTGCCATGCAGGTCTCTCCTGGGACCAGGCCGCACCAAGCCCTGCTCCCAGTCCTGCACAGATCATGACGTATGCTTTTAAGCAATGCTCCCTCTAAGCTGTGGAGTCTTGTGAGCAAAACTGCTACTTTGTGAGCTCCTGGCATTAAAGCTGTGAGTGAGCGATTGGGCCGCTGCATAAATTAGTTTGCTCTGGAGCCATCCAGCCTGAGCTAAGACAAAAATGTGTGAGCCAAAGGCTAAAAAACTGAGCTAGCTCACGCTAACTCAGCTTAGAGGGAATACTGCTTTTAAGCGTCCCTATTTTAGCGGCACGGGTGGGGAGCCAAGCCTTAAGTCACGCGTGGCTCGTGAGAAGTCACTGGACCGTCCGAGGGAAGCGACTTGGATCTTCGCTGTCATTTAGGGGCCCAAGTTTGCGCGGAGCTGCTTAGAGACGGAGCAGAGGGCGGCAGACGGTTAATCATAGAACTGGAAGGGGGCCAGTCAGGCCGTCCAGTCCAACCCCGCGCTCCGTGCAGGACGAGCCGAAAGCATCTGGCCACTGCTCGAGGACTGCCAGTGGGGGGGGAGCTCACCCCCCCCCCCCAGGCAGCCGATTCCGGTGCTGAACTCCTCCTCCTGTACATCAAACCACCACCCCCCAATATTCAACCAGTATCTTTCCACCCATAATTTTAAACGCATTATTGCAAGTCATAAGAACATAAGAGAAGCCAGTGTCGGATCAGGCCAGTGGTCCATCCAGTCCAACACTCTGTGTCACCCAGTGGCCAAAAATACCAGGTGCCATCAGGGGGTCCAGCAGTGGGGCAGGACACTAGAAGCCCCCTCCTACTGATTGCCCCCCCCCCCAGCACCAAGTCCTCCTGTCCTCTGCTGCAACTGAAAGAGCTCCCTGCCTTCCAGAGCCAGTTTGGCGTAGTGGTTAAGTGCATGGACTCTAATCTGGGAGAACCGGGTTAAGTGCGCGGACTCTAATCTGGGAGAACCGGGTTAAGTGTGCGGACTCCAATCTGGGAGAACCGGGTTAAGTGTGTGGACTCTAATCTGGGAGAACCGGGTTAAGTGTGCAGACTCCAGTCTGGGAGAACCGGGTTAAGTGCGTGGACTCTAATCTGGGAGAACCGGGTTAAGTGCGTGGACTCTAATCTGGGAGAACCGGGCTTGATTCCCCACTCCTCCACTTGCACCTGACTGGATGGCCTTGGGCAAGTCGTAGCTGTGATAAGAGCTGTTTTTGAAAAAGAGTCGTTTCTGTCAAGAGCTCTCTCGGCCCCACCGACCTCACAGGGTGTATGTTTCAGGGAGGGGAAGGGGAAGGAGATTGTCAGCCACTCTGAGACTCCCTTGGGTAGTGAAGGACGGGGGTATAAATCCAATCTCTTCTTAAGTGGCAGCCATTCAACTACTTAAAAGAGCCCCTCTCAACATAAATCCTTATTCATATATGGCACCATTGATGTAGAAGTACTTGCCCAGGGGATTGGAAGGTCAAAATGAGTACGGTTGGTCCCACCATGTCACGTTTCCCCATCCCTTGCCTTAACGTCAAGTTCTTCCATTACGCCTGTGGCCACTGACACAAAACTGTCCTTCCCTTCTCTGTTGCTTTCTGGCCTGGAATTGCTAGAATGTACCTCGAGCCACTGCTGATGGTGAGAAAGGCACAGGACAAGTGTGTTAATAAATTTTAGAAAACGAAAATGCATTCAGCAATTGGATTTTAGAAATAGAACACAGTTTGAGTCCAGTGGCACCATTAAGATCAACAGAGTTTATTTCTGGGTGTAAGCTTTCATGTGCAGGCACACTCCTTCAGAGAAGTATGCGTGCGCATGAGAACTTATACCCAGAATTAAACTCTGTTGGTTTTAAAGGTGCCCCTGGACTCAAACTTGGTTCTGTTGCTTCAGACCAACATGGCTATTCACCTGACTTAATCTTCATGGAGTTCTAGAAAGTAGCTATGAGCAGCAGGAACTCATTAGCATAATAGGCCACACCCGACAGCATGGCTTATTAGCCTATTAGACCACACCCCCATGCCTTCCCTTGGCTTGCCCAGGCACCCCATGGCTGAGGGAACCCAGGCAAGCCGGCCCCTGGACAGGCCAGGGAAGGCACGGGGAGACATTTAAATGCCTCCAAAAAATCCTTCCAGGACCCCCCGCCTCAGAGTCACCAGAGGGGGTCGCTCTCCAGGCCTTCCCTCTGTAGCCAGGCACATGCAGAGGTTTTGGCTGTAGTGGGCGTGGCCACCTCTGAAGCCAACCGGAACGCGGTTCCTGTGCGTTCCTGTGCAAAAATAGCCCTGGCTATGAGCAAAAAGGGGTACCGGAAGGAACTGGCTTGTGGGCCGAGTGCAAATTGGTGACTTAGAAACAGGCCCTCAGGCTTACTAGGTGGGACTTCTAGAAAGCATTTCTACGAAGGAGGTATTTGGAAGACAGAGAATACCATGCGCCAGGATAGTGGTTGTACATGGAACAGTTTACCCTACTCAATCATCTCTCATTCGATGTGGGAAGGGGAGGATATTTTCACCGCATTCCCTTTATCACAGAGTGTTAAAAGTTGAAAACAGAATTCTCATGTGCATGTTAGAAGTGAGCTGTATATTTGTCAATTATATTAAAATATGTGGCAGAGACTCCTTGGATAATTTTTTGTGTCATTTAAGTCACGTGCCTTTAAATGCAGAGTTGGGGATGGTTGTGTTAGAAGAATGTGCAGGACTAGTTTAAGACCGAAATAATTTGCAAGGAAAGGAGAGCGTATTGGCAATGAACTCGAATCTTAAACGTTACCTTTTACGTTCAGTGGCCGGGGTGTCCTTGCTCATTCAAGGGATCTACATGTTTGATCTTTCTTTGGCTTCATATTGCTCAGCTCAAATGCAGTTGGCATTGGTGCATATTTTATGGCATTTGTGAATCAGAGTTTTTTGTGCTCACTGCATTGCCTTCTTTTGCACTTGAAGCATATAGAGCTGAAAAGTCGGGCAAATTGAGGAGCATCAGGTAATTGGTCTCCGGGATTGTCTGTGACAAGCTTGCCAATTATTTTGGCACCTAAAACAGCTGTAGGAGGCACCCATATAAATGGAGGGTACATATCTGTAGGTTTTTCGCCACAAGAGGCAATGCGAAGACGCAGAAAAGTAAACTGCAAATATATTTTACATCAGGGCACAGAACACCTGCCCTCCTAAAAACCTTGATTTTAGTATTTAGGAATATGATGTGGTTTTAAAATGTTGGTTTTATGTAGGTTCATGTAATCTATTTTATGTATTATAATACTAATCTTGTAAACCACCTTGAGCTCTCTTAAGGAAGAAATATGGCTGATTAATATTTAAAATAAATAAATGAAATACATTCGTTCTACCCCCCACCCAGTTGTCTTCAGCGTGGTGCCGAAAAATTCTGATCTCTGCGAACTCGAAATGTTTCTGGCACGGCTTATGTTTGCGTATATTGATTTGCACTTGTGCTAATCCCCCCTTTTCTTTCTAAATAGTCGAAGACTTAAAATTTTAGAACCTTAATGCGCACAACATTTTTAATGTACAAGGTGAGGCTTTAGACAGACAGTAAGGAGACAACTTTATCCATCTAGTTTGCAGCATTCCAAGTATATAAATTCTGGGAGTAGAAAGTAATATAGAACTGGATGCAGAGAGCCAGTTTGGTGTAGTGGTTAAGTGCGTGGACTCTAATTTGGGAGAACCGGGTTTGATTCCCCACTCCTCCACTTTGCACCTGGCTGGATGGCCTTGGGCAAGCCGTAGTTCTGTCAGAGCTGTTCTTGGAAAAGAGCCGTTTCTGTCAAGAGCTCTCTCAGTCCCACCGACCTCACAGGGTGTCTGTTGTGGGGAGGGGAAGGGAAAGGAGTTTGTAAGCCGCTCTGAGACTCCTTTGGGTAGTGAAGGGCGGGGGATAAATCCCATCTCCTCCTCCTCCTCTTCTTCTTTCTAAATAGTCGAAGACTTAAAATTTTACTACCTTAATGCGCACAACATTTTCAATGTAGAAGGTGATGCTTTAGACAGACAGTAAGGAGACAGCTTTATCCACCTAGTTTGCGGCATTCCAAGTATATAAATCCTGGGAGTAGAAAGTAATATAGAACTGGATGCTTCCTCTGTATATTTGAAAATAGGAATTCACAGATTCTGTGCAAGTTTCTAGTCCTCAGGAAAGTCGTGGGGTGGGGGGGCAGAACAGCTGTTATTTGCATCCTTTTGGAGTTGCACACGCCTTGGATATTGCACGTGTCACTCTAAAATGGCGTATACAGTGCCCTGAGGCCATTGTGGGTCAGGAAGATTTGAGGAGGGGGGGACTGCAGCCCATTTCCCCACCCACCCTTGCCCTGCAGTCCCCGTGACCCTTTAAATTTTAATTTCCCTTCAACTGCCATCTGGTTGTGGGGAAAGTGAGTCCCGACCCAGCTCATTCAAAAATGTAAAGTCTAGTTTGAGCCCGAGAGAACCTGGTAGCATTCTTCCGAAGCCTTAGAACCCAGAAAAGAAGAATGCTGAAAACATGTAGTAAAATGTGTTGTGGATTTAAAAACCAAAAACCAAAATATTGTATCAATTGTATTGTTTTAGACTTGATATTCTATTAATTGTATACTGGTTTTTAACTACTGTAAGCCGCCCTGAGCCGCTTCGGCGGGAGGGCGGGGTAAAAGTCTTACAAATAAAATAAAATAAAAAATAAAATAAAATAAACATGGCTAATTTCTTTAGAGAATTAGTCCTGCTAGGGTTGGTTGCCCTATCTGATGGGGAGATACAGTGGACAAGACGTCTCTGGAATTTTTTTTTCTGGATACGAAATGTCTTGTATTCTGCCGTCTTTGGCAGTGTCTGTAGAACAAAGTTTGAATCCAGTGGCACCCTTAAGACCAACAAAGTTTTATTCAAGGTATAAATTTTCCTGTGCAAGCACACTTCTTCAGATACAGTGCAACAGGATTTCCTCAACAATTGCATATAGGAAGGGGGGTTTGTTGGCAGGAGGGACTAGTTAGAGTCAGGATACATAAGTACTGGGTGAGTATAGCTGAGATTGGATTAAGGCTGTAGTCGTTAAGTGTGTGGACTCTAATCTGGGAGAACCGGGTTTGATTCCCCACTTCCACTTGCAGCTGCTGGATGACCTTGGGCAAGCCATAGTTCTCTCAGAGCTGTTCTCTCAAGGACAGTTCCGGAAAGAGCTCTCTCAGTCCCCACCTACCTCACAGGGTGTCTGTTGTGGGGAGGGGAAGGGAAAGGAGTTTGTAAGCCACTCTGAGACACCTTTGGGTAGTGAAGGGCGGGGTATAAATCCAATTTCTTCTTCTTCTAAATTTACCGCACTCTTCTCTTCTACTTATGCATCTTGACTCTAACTAGCCCCTTCTAGCAACAACGCCCCCTTCCTATACATAATGGTTGAGGAAATTCTGTTTCATTGTATCTGAAGAAGTGTTCCTGCACACAAAAGCTTATACCGTGAACAAAAACTTTGTTGGTCTTAAAGGTACCACTGGATTCAAAATTTGCCCTGCTGCTTCAAACCAGCATGGCTACCCACCTGAATTTATTTGCCGGTGCGTGTTTTGTTGGATACTTTAAAAGTGCGTGCTTGGACTTGCATGTGGGCTACACACGAACTTGCCCTCTACTGAATCAGACTGTTGGCCCCTAAAGTATTGGCTAAGCTGACTGGCAATAGCTCTATCTCCGCTAGAATTCTTACACATCACCTATTGCCTGAGAGCCCTATTTCTTGGAGTTGCCGAGGATTGAACCTGTGACCACCTGTGCACCAAGCTGATTTTCTACGACTGAGCTGCAGCACCTCCGAAGTAAAGTGGTGCTTTACTTAAGTGGTGTAAGGAGGTAATTGCTGCTTTTCTGTCTAGGCAGCTGGAATCCTGCCTGCGAACTGTGGCTTGCTTAGTAGAAGCAAGCAGGAAAATTCTGGAGAATAGTAGGTTGCCTATGAACCTAATGTGAAGGTGGGTGGAAACAGCTCTAGAGTCAAGCTGATTTCTCCCTGGGATGAAAACTTGGAAAATGCAAAGTATAAACAAGCTCTTTAAGTAACTGATGATTGTCCAAAATATGCAGAAATTTCATTTTTAAAAAATTCTTGTACCGTAAACTGTTTAAAACATTAGTGTTTTCTAGTCATGCGCAGTTTTATGCACATTATATCAAGTATATGTGAAACATGCCAGGAGTCACTACCTTATCTAATGCTTGTGTTGCTTCTTTCCCCATTCCCCAAATAACACTGTGCATTCTTCTCCTCACCCCAGATTCATAACCATAACTGAGCCGTGTTCAGGGTCGTAACCGAGTTGGTCTGACCTGTGTTCTTTTCCTATGCAGCTTGTACTTCCCGAGTATCTCATCCACGCATTCTTCTGTGTTATGTTTCTGTGTGCGACAGAGTGGCTCACGCTGGGTCTCAATATGCCGTTGCTGGCTTATCACATTTGGAGGTAATGCTGGCCATCGTTTGGTATCGCTTTAGTCACCAGCCTTTTTTGCCGTCCCATCAGCTTGTCATAGGAAACTATCCAAGGCTCCTTAGGATCTCCGCATACGCGGGACCCCCCCAGGCAGCGTGTGGGCGATCCGGCTCCGGGAGCTTGCCCGAGAGTCGGTCGCCAGGCGCGCAGCCATGACCGGAAGTCTCTTGGGGCTTTTTAAATTAAACATGCACGTTCCTAAGAGTGAAGGTTACTGTAATGATTCCATGTTTTGGTGTGTGTGTGTGTCTTTAAATGTTGAGTTTTGACTGCAGTAATGTAAGGAGAGCGATAGGGGGAGATGAGTGTGCTGGGAGGGCTGATGACTGAGAGTGTGGGAGGAGGGGTGTCTGAGAGGAATCTGTGTGTGTGTCTATGAGGAGATTCTGTGATATGGGAGAGACAAGTTATGGAAGAGTTTTGAAGAGAGTCTGTGTGACTCAGATGTTTTATGACAGAGTTCTGTGTGTGAAGTTTGAAGAGACAGCATAGTCTGTGTGATGATGGAATTTTGCTTCCATTCTGTGTGAATAAGGCAAACAGTTTAGTCTGAGTGACTATAAGAGCTGATTCTGTTTTGGGTGAATAAGACAAGGAGATTAGCCTGTTTGGCGCTATATTTGGCAATATATATATCTCAGAGAGTGAGAAAGATTATACTATGCCCATCAGAGTGAATTCTGAGTGACTGTTTGTAACACCAAGTTTTGCCAGTTATATTTACAAGTTCCTTTTTCAGTAACAGTTCAAAAATAACCAGAAACCTATTTTGTTCTTTATTAAATAAATCAATTTTTATTTTGATCAGATTCAGAAACCTTTAATGGCATAAAAAGTAATAAAATGCAAAATAATCTTACATAGATAAAATAGGAATAGTACAGTCCAGATGGGGCAATAAAACAGTGTCAGGAATAAGAACACAGAAGGGCAAAATTAAGCTTATCCCAGCAATCAGTATAGTTCTTCCTCAGGGCCACATAGTCCTCTGAAGTGCCCAGACCCTAGGTCATTCTACCAGCAGAGAGAGAGATTTGGAATTTTAATTCCTGGTGGCAACAGAAATCTACCAAGTTTAGGTATACAAAGCGTGTTTAAAGGTAAAACCGTCTCTCCTGTAAGCAAGCATGTCACAGATACTGTAGTCAGGGCTGTCTATTTATGATGTGTGATTATGGGGCAGTTCTGGATCTAGCTTAGAAATTCAGTTTTAGGAATCCCAGATTTCAATCAGGCAGAAGATGTTTTATCCTCGTTGCAGAGAGTCAGGACGGGATGCAGGTTTGGAACCGGGTGAGGGGTTTTTGTGTCCTCTACGGCTCCCTGTTTCGTTTCCAGAGTGTTGAGGGGGGAGATCTTATTTGGGCAGCATCAGGCCAAGAGTCCACCTGCACCACAAAGAGAAAAAAGGGGGTGAACCAAAGAGATTGTCATTTGAAATGTGCAGGGGTCGTTTCGTAGAAAAAGAGCTAGGGGAACTCATTAGCATAACTCATTCGCATATGCCACACCCCCTGACATCACCGGAAGTGTGTCATAAAGCCACACACCCCGCCCCCAACGGTCCCGGCCGCCGCTGCCGCCGGCCTTGCAGCTCCACTGCCGAGCCCCATGAGGGGCCCGGCGGTGGACCTGCAAGGCCGGTGGGAGTGCAAGGAAGCCCTGCGAAGGCCCTCCCTGGCCCTAGGCAGGCAGGGGTGGGGAGAGGCAGGGAGGAAGCAACTTACCCTCCCTATTCTCCTGCCTCCTCCTGGCTGAATGCGGGCCGGAAGCGGGGCGGCCGGAAGCTGGGGGCGGGGCTTCGTCATGTGCCCCCCCCCCGTACCTCACCCGGGGGAACTGCGATCCCCCCCGAAATGACCTCTGGAAATGTGGTGCCGGAGGAGAGTTTTGCGGGTACCACAGACCACCAAAAAGACAAATCTGGATCGAATCACGCCTGAACTTCCCCTAAAAGTCACTAGGCTATTGTACTTTGGTCACGTGATGAGAAGACAGGACTCCTTGGAAAAGACAGTAATGCTGGGAAAAGTTGAAGGCAGCAGGAAAAGAGGAAGAAGACCCCACAGGAGAAGGACGGACTCCCGTCAAGGGAGTGGTGGGCCCTCCGTTCGCAAGACCCGAGCAAGGCTGTTAAGGATCAGACGCTTTGGAGGACATTAATTCATAGGACAAAGTTTGAGTCCAGCGACACCTTTAAGACCAACAAAGCTTTCGCCCCTGCTTGTTTAGTTACTTATTGCCAGCACCATCTGAGGCAAGATAGAGGGCAACCCAAGAAATGGTCTTCTCTGTTGTGGTGCCAAAACTTTGGAACTCCCTCCGAGGAGATTCATCTGTCTTCCTCTAGGTGGACGCTCTTTCATTTGGCATACTCCCAACAATTGCTATTGGCCCTCCTTGCTGGGTTCGGGGTTGTATGTTCATGGGTTTTTGTTGAATTGTATATTATGCTGTTTTAATGTTCGAATGTTTTCCTGTTCGCCGTCTTTGGGACCCTAATTGGGTGGAAAGGCAGCATAAAATATTTTACATTCTTTAAAAGCCCCAGTTTAAGGAATCCTGGAGAGGATTTACTCTTTCCTTTAGAGTCAGCTGCTCAGGCTAAGGACATATATAGTCTCAGCTGACTTATGGCGATCCCATAGCGATGTTCAGAGGTGGTCTCCCATTCATTCGTTCATTTGTACCCTGCCTTTTTAAAATGCGAATTCTCTCTCCCAGGTACATGAGTAGGCCTGTGATGAGCGGACCCGGGCTCTATGACCCTACCACCATCATGAATGCAGACGTTTTAGCATATTGCCAGAAGGAAGGATGGTGCAAACTAGCATTTTACCTTCTGTCCTTTTTTTACTACCTATATGGGTAAGTCACCGGTTTTTATCTTTATTTACTGCAGCACTTAACGATGTCTTTGCAAAGTCTCATAATAAGGTTGCCATGTCTGGGCTTTGAAATACCTGGAGATTTTAGGGGTGGAGCCTGAGGAGGCTGGAGTTTGAAGAAGAAGAAGAAGAGATTGGATTTATACCCCGCCCTTCACTCGGAGTCTCAGAGTATTCGTGCGTGCTGAATACTAAAAGCCCAGCATATGTTTCAAAGACAGAGAATGATGATGCATAGTAATTATTTTAATCCTTCAATTTATATTTGTAATTCTCTGCACTCTGGGATGTTTCCTCTGCTATGATGGGGTGCATATGGGTTTCTTGGATGCGCCGATCTCTCCAATGCTTGGAGGAAGCACTAGAAGAAGAAGAGATTGGATTTATACCCTGCCCTTCACTCGGAGTCTCAGAGTCGCTTACAAACTCCTTTCCCTTCCCCTCCCCACAACAGACACCCTGTGAGGTAGGTGGGGCCGAGAGAGCTCTGACAAAAACTGCTCTTTTTCAAGAACAGCTGTTATCAGAACTACGGCTTGCCCAAGGTCATCCAGCCAGGTGCAAGTGGAGGAGTGGGGAATCAAACCCGGTTCTCCCAGATTAGAGTCCCCACTCCTCCACATGCATATAAATTCAATCTTTTCTTCTTCTTGCTGGGCAAAAGCCCCACGTGGCCCCGCCCACTTTCTAAAAACTCTTGGAGGATGCCGTGAAATCTGATGGCAGACACCATGTCGGGGACCCCGATGATACTTTAACCCAAAGGGTTTATAAATAGAATTGAAAGTACTACTGTGTGTCAAACAAACAAAAGTAAAGGAAAAAAGGCTGTGTGTGTGATACATTTGAACAACATATTTACAAGTCCCTTTATCCTAAACTGTTACAGAATAACCAACTTCATATTTTGTCCTTAGTTCAATAAATCATCTTTTGTTTAAGTTATCCCTGAATTGAATTCAGTCCTTCCTCGGGACCACATAGATCCCTGAAAAGCCTAGACCCTGGGTTACTTTACCAGAAAGAAGAACAGAGGGAAGGTTTGGAAATCCTTAAATTCCTGGTGGCAGCCGAATCTACCCAGTTGAATAAAGCAAAGAGGACATTTAAAAGGGAAAACCAGTCCTCCCTAATAAGAGGACGCGACAAAGTTCTACACTCAGTTCCAACATTAACAGGATTCACTCTTTCCTTTAGAGTCAGCCGCTCAGACTAAGGACATATATAGTCTCAGCTGACTTATGGCGATCCCATGGCTATGTTCAGAGGTGGTCTCCCATCCAAGTACTAACCAGGGCCAACCCTGCTTAGCTTTCGCAATCTGATGAGATGAGGCTAGCCCGGGCCATCCAGGCCAGGGCTTTGGATACCACGAAACTAATAACGCTTTCACCGTTTTCTCCCTTCCCGACAGCATGATCTACGTTTTGGTGAGCTCTTAAGCGGGAGATGCCCAGTGGACTTGGTTCCGGCGAAGTGCATGCAGAAAAGCCGCGAGGGACGGGATCATTTTCCCAAGACGAATCTTTTATCAAGATTTCAGCCACGGAATCCGGCGATCACAATTGCGACAGGAGGAAGAAACAAAGCGACTCCCTTTTCTCCCCCCCCCCCAAAAAAAACAAAAACGTCTCCACATTTTAATACTCACAGAAAGACTGTTTTCAGGGTTGTTTTTTTTTTTGATTTTTTAAAAATATGCTGGGATGTTTAAGATTACAAAAAAAATACATAAATTAATGTCAAGCCGCTGCCTCTGGCGTTGAGTAAGTTTTGACCCCGTAGCCCTTGAGGAGCAGGCGTACCCTCCTTCGCACTGTCCTTGTTTCTTTCTTTTTTGTTTGTTTACCAGACTTTGTAGCGGACGTTTTGGTTATTGATTCCTGTCTAGCTGTAGGTAACCAAGTGCACCTGATGGACTTCATGCTTTTCTGTATGTTCCCCCTCTAGGTGACTCCTGTGTGTCTTGTAGATGAATACATGAGTAGAACTACAGGAAAAGAAAATGTAGTTCAGGGTTTTTTTTGTTTTTGTTTTTTTTAAATACTCTTTGAATATTCTCTCCGTATCACGTGCATGGCTCAGACTTTTCCATATTTACCGCAAGCGTACCTCCGGCTTTAACTTTCCAGGTTAAGTGGATATGCCATAGGGGAAATCCGCAAAAGCAGCACACCCCGAAAGCCCCCGTTTTTAAATTTTCGTTCGCCGAAGGGGAAGAGGTGCTCCGGCCTCGGAACGACCCATCCAGCCTGTCTCAAAAGGTGGGAATAAAAATAGTTCTGTGAGTCTTCTTGGTGGAACGGCAGGCACTCGTAGGACGAAGTTGGGTAAATAAATGCCCCGCTGCTGTTCCTTAGTGCGATGCAATAAAAAAACCCTCCAAGTCAGAGAAGTTTACCTTCTTCCGCTGCTCGGCCTCTTCAGAATATTATGAAACTGCTGGTTTAGCCCATGGCTGTTAGGTGGGGCTGTCGTAATTTTACGGCTTGTAAACACGGGCCCTTGTGCCGTCGAGCAGGGGTGAGCAGAACCTTGACTGCACTCCTGCAGAAGACTGCCAGCCAGTTTTTGGCGGCCTGGTTGGCACATGCTGGTTGTTGGGGATTCTTTCTGAGGTTTGTCTGATCCTGCAAAGCGCTTGCTTTATTCCTAAGAGCGCAGGCTTGGGATCACTCCCTATGAATTAGTTATACTTTAACCCAGGGGTTCCCAAACGGGGTGCCCAGGAGCGCACTGGCGTGTGCCGACACCTTTCCTGATGCCTGACAAGCAAGTTGGATAGTGGGAGGCAATGCTCCCTCTAAGCTGTGGCGTCTTGTGAGCAAAAATTCTACTCTGTGAGCTACCGGCATTAAAGTTGTGAGCGAGCGATTGGGCTGCTGCATCAATTAGTTTGCTCTGGAGCCACCCTTCCTGAGCTAAGGCAAAAATGCGTGAGCCGGAGGCTAAAGAACTGCGAGTTAGCTCACAGTAACTCAGCTTAGAGGGAACACTGGTGGGAGGAGTCAAGTGGGGCTTTTGGCTGCCGGAGATCTGATTAGCCGTGCGGATATTTAAAGAATCTTCACTGCGTGGCTGAAGAAAAGCTTATAAAGATAAAGGTCTCCCTCGCTCGGAAGCCAGTCGAATCCGACTTTAGTGGGCAGCGCTCATCTCCGTTTCCAAGCCGAAGAGCCTGCGCTGTCCAAAGACCGCTCCATGGCTATCCCGTCGTGACTAGACGCCGAGGTGCACGGAACGCTGTTACCTTCCCACCGAAGCGGTACCTGTTTATCTACTTGCAGTTTCTTGCTTTCAAACTGCTAGGTTGGCAGGAGCTGGGGCCAGAGACGGGAGCTCACTCCGTCACGCGGCACACACGGGTCTCGAACTGCCAACCTTTCAGCGTCTTCACCTCTGAGCCACTGCAGCCCCTGGCGAAAAGCTTAGCATATGCGAGAAGATATTTTTAAAAGAACGCGCTCATTTTAAAAGGCGTCCTGTTAATCAGAGTTTCTGCTCGAAATGCTGAAGAGTTACTGCTGGGGTGACGCCAAATTCGTTCCCTGCCATTTTGTGTGTGGCCCCGCCTCTTTGTGGCCACGCCCACCACTCCGAATTCCAAAAGTGCCCACCGGCTCAGAAGAAGATTGAGGGATCCCTCGCTTTTAAGCCGATTACTCAAGTGCGCGCGAGGAGCATTGTTATGCCCCAGTAGCCAGTCTTCTAGAAATTGTCACAGCTTCTGCAACAATGTCACTCTCCTGTCTCTGGAAATATATGTCATCCTTAAAGCAATGTGTAGTGGTATTTTTTAATCAATAGGAAGTGTGCCACAATATTACCTTATCTCAGTTTTCCACAGTCCTTCATAGTAAAAAAGAGTAAAGGTTCCCTTGTTTGAAAGCCAGTCGAATCTGACTCTAGGATTGCGGTGCTCATCTCCATTTCCAAGCCGAAGAGCCAGCGCTGTCCGAAGACGTTTCCGTGGTCATGTGGCCGGCATGACTAAACACCAAGGCGCACGGAACGCTGTTCCCTTCCCAATGAAGTGGTCCCTATTTATCTACTTGCAATTTCTTGCTTTCGAACTGCTAGGTTGACAGGAGCTGGAACTAGAGACGGGAGCTCACTCCATCATGCGGCACACATGGGTCTCGAACTGCTGAACTACCGACCTTCCACAGCCTGCAGTTCAGCGTCTTACCCACTTGAGCCACCGCAGCTCCTTCATAGTACACATACGTGAATCTGACTTATACTGAATCAGACCCTTTGTCCATCTAGGTCAGTATTGTCTACTCAGACTGGCAGCGGCTCTCCAGGGTCTCAGGCAGAGAAAGGCCTTTCACATCACCTCCTGCCTGGTCCTTTTAGCTGGAGATGCCAGGGATTGAACCAGAGACCTTCTGCATGCCAGGCGGAGGCTCTACCCCTGAGCCACAGCCCCTCCCCAAAGACTGCATGATGAACACACATGAAGCTGCCTTATACCGAATCAGACCCTGGGTCCATCAAGGTCAGTATTGTCTACCGAGGTTGGCAGCGGCTCTCCAGGGTCCCAAATGGAGGTCTTGCAAATCACATACTGCCTGGTCCTGTTTGTTGTAGTGGTTAGAGCCAGTTTGGTGTAGTGGTTAGGAGCCCAGACTCTAATCTGGAAGAACCGGGTTTGATTCCCCACTCCGCATGCCGCTGCTGGTGTGACTTCGGGTCAGTTACAAGTTCCTTCAGAGCTGTTCTCGCAGGAGCAGTCCTCTCAGAGCTCTCTCAGCCCCACCTGCCTCACAGGGTTGTCTGTTGTGGGGAGGGGGAAGGGAAAGGAGACTAAGCCGCTCTGAGACTCCTTCGGGTAGTGAAGGGCGGGGTATAAGTCCAATCTCTTCTTCCTTTTTAACTGGGGATGCTGGAGATTGAATTTGGGACCTTCTGCATGTCAAGCGGATGCTTCGCCACTGAGCCGCAGCGCCTCCCCTGGTAGTGGGGCACTTGGTAGCCCTTGGGGTTCTTTATTTTAAGGCCCCATTGCGCCTTTCGATTTGGAATCGGGATGGGCCGCTATTTCTGCTTCTGCATTCCATGCGTGCAAAGAACCGCAGTTTTGCATGCATCTACTGGTTCAGAGAGGGAGGGCGAGAGACAGGAAATCACAGAGGTGTGTCATTTTCAAGCAGCCCTCCAGGGCACGTGCTCGAGTGTGTCTGTTCGAGTGTGTCTTGGTAGGCGGGCGTTGGAGCCAGTTGCTTGACACACTTCTTTGATAAGGGTGCACAGCAGGAACAATCAGATGGCAGGTTGATCTGCTTGTGCACAGACGATTGAGCTTGTTTTTGTCTCCCCCTGAGAGAGTCTTCTTGTCAGTTCCTTAGCCTGCCACTGGGGGGGTGGGGACGGGGCAACCATACGGCACTGTTCTTCACTACGCCTGTCCTGACATCCTACGGTGGACAAAATTGGCAAAGGGAGGAACTACTTCCTGGGGCAGGAACAGAAATGAGGGGTTCCCTAACATGGTATTTGTGGGCACCTTTCCTGGTTGCCCTCTCTCCTATTTATATTTATTTATTTATTTGATTTGTATACCGCCCTCCCCGCGGACGGGCTCAGGGCGGTTCACAACAGTTTCAATACAATGCCATTAAAACAATAATTAAAATAACAAAAAAGTAAAACCATCATAGACCGTGCAACGACTAATTCCGATCAGCAGTACTGATATTAAGATCCGGCCACTGATGTCAGTTCAGCAGTGCCAATGTTAAGATTCGGGCTGCTGAGGAGGACGCCCGCCGCCTCAACTCAAAGGCCCGGCGGAAGAGCTCCGTCTTGCAGGCCCTGCGGAACTGCAATAGATCCCACAGGGCCCTGATCTCACACGGGAGCTCATTCCACCAGGCAGGGGGCACGGCTGAAAAAGCCCTGGCCCTGGTTGAGGCGAGTCGGACAGGCCTCGGGGCTAATAGAGGATGTTGATAGACGTTCTCGAAGTTATGCTGGCCCCTGGCCGTATAGGGCTTAGTATATTTCTCAGTATATTTTTTAATTACTCCTCTTCATTGCATTTGAACTTCCCCTGCGTAGCTGGTTCTTCCCCCCTGTGGCAGCCATTTTGTGATTGCGCTGACTTCCCGGTGTCAGAATTCCAGGCCCAGAAAGGTTGGAGACCCCTAGGGTAAAAAGGTAAAGGTTCCCTTGCTTGAAAGCCAGTTGAGTCCGACTTTAGGGTTGCGGTGCTCGTCTCCATTTCCAAGCCGAAGAGCCAGCGCTGTCCGAAGATGTTTCCGTGGTCATGTGGCCGGCATGACTAAACACCAAGGCGCACGGAACACTGTTGCCTTCCCACCGAAGCGGTACCTATTTATCTACTTGCAATTTCTTGCTTTCGAACTGCTAGGTTGACAGGAGCTGGAACTAGAGATGGGAGCTCACTCCATCATGCAGCACACTCGGGTCTCGAACTGCTGAACTACCGACCTTCCACAGCCTGCAGTTCAGCGTCTTAACCTAGGGTAGGTCAGTTCTAATTCATTCTTTTGCAGTGCTTCCTCCAAGCATTGGAGAGATCGGCGCATCCAAGAAACCCATATGCACTCCATCACAGCAGAGGAAACCGCCCAGAGTGCAGAGAATTACAAATATAAATGGAAGGATTAAAATAATTACTATGCATCATCATTCTCTGCCTTTGAAACATACGCTGGGCTTTTAGTATTCGGCACGGACGATGTTCCTTTTGCTCATGGAGGAGATACTTGACAGGTGAACCGGCTAATGAAATTCCAACTAAGAGGGGACATTATGGAGGTTTATAAAATGATGCATGGGTTAGAGGGAGTTGACAAAGAGAACTGTTTCTCCCTCTCCTAAAATACTAGGACTCGAGGGCATCCAATGAAGCTGATGGGCAGTAGGTTCAAGATGGTCTAAAGGAAGTATTTCTGTAGAGAGAGTGATTAAAATGTGAAGAACTCTGCCGGATCAGACCAATGGTCCATCCAGTCCAGCATCCTGTCTCACCCAGTGGCCAACCAGTTCCTCTGGAGGGCCAACAACAGGGCATGGAGGCCGAGGCCTTCATGAGAACATCAGGAGAGCCCTGCTGGATCAGACCAGTGGTCTATCTAGTCCAGCCTCCTGTCTCACCCAGTGGCCAACCAGTTCCTCTGGACGGCCAACAGCAGGGCATGGAGGCCGAGGCATTCATAAGAACATCAGGAGAGCCCTGCTGGATCAGACCAGTGGTCCACCTTGTCCAGCATCCCATATCACACAGAGGCCAACCAGTTCCTCTGGACGGCCAACCGCAGGGCAGAGAGGCCGAGGCCTTCATAAGAACCTCAGAAGAGCCCTGCTGGATCAGACCTGCGGTCCATCTAGTCCAGCATCCTGTCTCACACAGGGGCCGACCAGTTCCTCTGGAGGGCCAACAACAGGGCAGAGAGGCCGAGGCCTTCATAAGAACATCAGGAGAGTCCTGCTGGATCAGACCAGGGGTCCATCTAGTCCAGCATCCTGCCTCACACAGTGGCCAACCAGTTCCCCTGGAGGGCCGACAACAGGGCAGAGAGGCCCAGGCCTTCATAAGAACCTCAGAAGAGCCCTGCTGGATCAGACCAGTGGTCCATCTAGTCCAGCATCCTGTCTCACACAGTGGCCAACCCTCTGGAGGACCAACAACAGGGCATAGAGTCTGGGGCCTTTCCCTGATGTTGCCTCCTGGCTCTGGGATTCAGAGGATTAGTACCTCTGAATGTGGAGGTTCCCCTCAGCCACCATGGCTAGTAGCCACTGATACTTACCCTCCATGAATCTGTCTAACCCCCTTTCCGAGCTGTTTATTCCTGCGGCCACCGCTACATCACT